GGGACTGTTCAGCTATTGGAAAGCTATACCCTCTCTCTGTCTGGGAGAGAAAAAAATAGAAAAAAAAATATACTACATGCTCTGGTAAATACCATGCTCTGCTCTGATATTTGCAGAGCACTTAAGTTTTTTCAAGAATTTTCAGGTAATAACCATTAAATCCTTGTAGCAGTTATTTTTATCTCATGGAGCTGGAAAAAGAGACATCTGAAATTTAAACTGGCCAATGTCATCTTCTGCAAGTTAGTGGGCAGAGCAAGGATGTCACCTTGCAATGGCTCCTGCTATCCATCCCTCAGCTTAATCTCCTGCACAGCTTGCAAAGACAAAAAATAGAAAACCAGACTCCCAAAGATGCTGTAAATATTTTCTTTCTGCTGCAGCTTCAGGAAAGCCTGGTCTCTGGCAGCAGACCTCCTTAAAATGCTTCTCCCTCTGTAGATGCCAAATCTTTCTGTGTATGTGATGCTCTGTATCCGCCTTATACAGGATCTGCTTCCTTGTAGTGCTCTAAGTGTTTGGTCCCCCACTTAAGGTCAGGATTCATCCTGTGTGCAGGCATGCTGGGCGTATAGCTGTGGCTATGGCTCTCGAGCACTGCAGTTATTGTGGAAGTAAATGGAACTAGTCTCTAGTGAGGGACACAACTCTTAACCAAGTTTCCTGTTGTATCAGGTGCAACAGCCTGCAGGGAGTTGCTGAGTCATGGACCACATCTGCCTGTGACAGTGCAGAATGCTGCAGGGAGCACATTAACGAAACACCGTTCAGGGAGAAAAGACTTGTCTTTGTTATCTTCCAGTGGCAGACTAGTGCGAGAATGTTAAAATAGTGTATTAAGTCAGTTGTTATAGGGAAGGAAGAAGAATGATGCTTCAGAGTTATATGTCCACTAAAATTGAAGTTTGGATAGTGTGCATTCAGAAATAATTTTATTTTCCAGTAATGACAATATGCAATATCACGTAAGAAATGAAATTGAAGAATTGATCTTATTCTTCAAATACAGGATAGCTTCAATATTAAAATTAACATATAAATTTAGCATCAATCTTATTTCCCCACTCACGTCCGCTGAGTAAATGCACATAAAGAATGAATCACTGAAACAGTATACTGAGAGAATCAAAGTCATTTTTCAAAGGTGTCAGCACAAATGTGAGGTGAGCCTGTTCACCAAGCATCCAACAAATGTTGTAGGGGTGGCCCTTCAGGCCCATAAGGAGGACAAGTCCAAGACCCCCGGGGGGAGCAGCACAACCACCAGCAAAGGCAAGTCAGGGAGGAATTTGGGGCAGGAGAGACTCATTGCACTGTGCTTATCCTGTACCCTGACTCTTCCCCAGTCTACAGGTACGTGAGCTGCTGGAGAATGTAAGCATCGCATTAGGGGTGTCCACAGCACTCCTTTGAGGGAGAAATTATTATTGTTATTGTTTACGTCACCGTTTGCCTTATCCGCCTTGTCACAGCTAGAGGTTAACGAGAAGAGATTAAGCAGCGTGCCTCTGGGGCAGCAGCCAGCCTCTGCGGAGCGCATTGCTCTGGTCTCTGGTGGGTCTGCACCACTGCTGACGACAAGCAGACCCGTGGGCAGAGACAGCTTCCCGTGGCATTGCCCCTTGGTTTTGTGTGCACCCACGGAGAGTTGACAGTGAAACCACCTGCCTGACAGGAGAAAAAGAAGCTCCAGGGCACCCTGGAGATGCACCCGGGCAGCTGCTCAATCAGGAGCAGGAACAGGGCAGAGGGCAAGGGATGAACCTCTCTTGATCGAAGAAAGCTGCTCTAACACCCCCCCCCCAAAAAAAAAAAAAAAAAAAAAAAAAAAAAAAAAAAAAAAAAAAAAAAAAAAAAAAAAAAAAAAATAAAA